GTATTCTGACTCGCATATTCTATCCCCTTAAATACCAGTGGTCTTCCTTGTCAGTCTAAGATCTAAATCAATGATAATGTCGCATGAACAAATAACTATGCTTCATGGAAAGCACTCTGTGGAGACTGATGATTCAAGTACAAAATTTCTGTTCTACTCAAATAAGCTTTCTAACAAAATTAATCTGATGTGCTTTTAATCATTTACATAATCATTATAGTGTTGCATGTAATTAAGCATAAATTGTATGCAGTTAAGATAGATAACATTACAATAATTGTCAAGCCAAATTTAAAATTTTAGTTTTCCATGTTACTAGTTTTTCGTAGTTCTTCATGATCAGTTAGAAGGATCAATATGTACCTTTCCACCTGGTATCATATACTGTTTAGTTATTTTTCTATTATCTCTGTGAATATACATAAAATATCATACAGCATAAATTCAATAAACCAAAAGCTAAGTTTGCCTTGTCTCTTCTGTGTTTTTAACCACTAGATCCCCAGTTAATACTCAAAACCATGTGTAAGGTCTAGTATTTCATATCCATTTTTTCACCATTTCTCTTTTTCTCCTTAATTCTCTCCATCACTGCACTCATGTTGGTGACTCCTTCCACATGGATTGTCCTCTCTGTTCTCCTTGTGTTTCAGGATTGGAGAGGGCAGAAAGATGGAACCCACAGTCTGTGGATTTTCTACTTTGGATTGAGTCAGAAGAGAAGGAGTGGGCTATAGGGATTAAGTGGAAAAATAATACATTTAAAGCACTGAGTTAATATGCCTGCCTTAAAAATAAAGTGCAGACTAAGTGAAGTAGGTCATACCTCTACCTTCATTCTCTTTATTTTATATCATGGTTAAGTCTTTCCTGTGAGAAACCTTAACTTATTTCCTCTTCCTGTCCCAACTCCTTATACATTTATCTCTGTCCTTTCTGCTCCACTGAAAATCTTTTTAAAGGTCTGAATTGACATTATTAGAAAACGCCGGTGTGCTTTTTTGGCTGTACCCAAGAATATTTCTCTAAGAGTTTAACATTTATTAATCTTCTCTTTTCCATGAACTGTTCTTTCTTAGGTTTTATGAAGCTTTCTAGGTTCTCCATCTATGTATTTGATTATTTGTCAGTTTTCTTTGTTGGCATCTCTCCTGCTTGTCTTTCACATGTAGAAGTTCTCTGGGTTTTGTTTGTATCATAAATATTCTTTATAAGGGAAGATTATTTCCTCTTTGGGTTTCAATGAACAACTTTATATTTGTGACTTCCAAATCTACATCTCCACTGCAGTTCTTTTCTTACATAGACTCATGTTCTGAGCTCCCTCCTGGCCATTATCTTGTCAACATTTTAACTCAACAGTCAAGGGCAAACTCAGTATTTTCTCCCAAGTTTCCAACCCTCTTGTAATTTTTAATTCATTTTATTGGTGCTATTAGCTCAGTGTCATTTAGTTTTCATCAAGTTTTTGCTCATCCATTCATCTAAATATTTGTAGTCTTAATTTGTCTTTGCCATTTCTAGCCTTTTAGATAGTTTTTCTTCCTTCACTATCTTTTGTGCATCTTTCTCCTTGTTATGAGGTACTTTCAAACAATGTAAGTCATAGTATATCACTTCCATCCTCAATAGCCAGCAATGACTCCCTTTATTAAACTCTGCTTAATCTAAGAACTAATCCACTTTGACCTGGCTCTAGCAATAACTCTAGCCCCATATCCTATTACATCAAACACTATGGATTATCCCACAGGGTTATTTATCATTGTCCATATTTCTTGCAGGCTTTCATGTCTTTTTATTTATTTTCTCATATTGCCCACTTTATCTGAAATACATGCTCATAAATACTGCTGAGTGCCTCATCTTTTAAATTTCAGCTTAACATTCTTTCACAACTATTTGCCAAATACCTTCTCTCTTTTTAGTTTCTGGGTGGATCCTTCTCCTTTCAGCTCACACTGCTTGTACTTGTATTGAACATATGGGTTTTCTGCTGTGGATTATAGCTGTTGTCTACATTTTTGTCCTTTGTACCTAGCCACACCCATTTCCACACTCCTGTTGTACTACCTTTATTCCCTTAACACAATTTTACCTCCATGGAACTCCAGCAGAGTGCTTAGCATTAACTAGGTGTTCAGTCAATGTTGAACTAAAGTACCATATATATTCAAGACAATTTTGGACTGATTCCACCATAATCAAACAAGATTTGACAACTCAATTACTTTACTTGAATGAACTATCTTTAGGATCTAGTTTAATTTAATGGACTAGAAATGACACCAGAGAATGTTAATCCTCATTTTTAGGGTTAAGCTATTTTATTGATTTATTCTTCCTATAAAAATTATGAAACATTTCTTGTATCTATAGGCCACTACTAGGCCTAGAATGAGTCCCCCCCACACACAAAAAGATACATCATGGTTCCAACTTTACCAAATTATACAGTGGATTTAGAGGCATTATTAAAAACAAAAGCTTCGTGGTCAGACTGGTTTTGTTTTGAGTGCCAGCTCCATCACATGTTTGCTGTGTAATCTTCAGTCAATTATCAGCCATCAGTTTTTCATCTGTAAAATGTAAACTACAATAAAATCTGTATGTTTGACTGCTGTGGGATTTCAAAGAGATTGTGTATTTAAAGAACTTGACATACATTAGGTTTACAATTTGTAGCAATAGATATTGGTCAGAGAAACCAAAATATAAATAATTACTGTGATACAAATAAAAAATGCACTAATTTCAAAAGAAGCATTTATTCCATATTTTTTATCCATTTACAGACCAAATTACTTGTCTTTATACATTATATGAATACGAACATTTATATTAGCATATAATTAGCATGGACCCAAAATCCACACCTACAAATCAAATATGGTTGATTTTTTTATTGGTTGTATTTATATAAAAGAAACAGAAAAGAAACAGCAATTGTTCCAGGTATTTGAAAGAATAATAAATTTAGTATAAAAATATTGATTGTAATCAGAGCAGTGAAAATTAGAAGCTGAAGAGGGTACAGCAAGCTTTCAGCTTTGGTGCAGTAGTATGTCGCAGTCAGAGGCACAGGCATGCTACTTTCTAGACCAGAGGAAAATGCTTCAGTTTCTGCCCTGGGGCACTCCAACCTTAGGAGGTTGATAAGAAGAGGGGGGCCCTGCCACGGATATTGTGAAAGGAGTAAATCTAAAAGTATGGAGCACTAGAAGCAAAGTGCTGAATGTGTACCAGGAGAAGTAGTTAACCGTCAAATGCAGCTGGTATGTCAACTAAGGGGACGACTGAGAAAAGGCCATTGTACTTACCAACATCAGGTTCTCTTCTCTGGAGCAATGCGGATGAAGGCTTGACACAGTGGGTTTAAAATAGAAACAGAGGAGAAGCGAGGGACAGCAAGTAAGTTTTTTTTTTAAGTTTTGTTATAAAGAAGAATAGAGGATTTGGGCAGTGGTGAATAACAGGAAAAGTGAGGTAGAGGTTTTCTGTTTGTAAGTTGGGGAAAACAAGAACATGTTTGATGCTGAGAATGAGCTAATACAGGAGCCAGAAAACTTTCTGTAAAGCGCTATAGTAAATATTTTGGTTTTGTGGATCCTGGGTCTCTGGAACAAGTCAACTGTGCCTTTGTAATGTAACAGCAGCCATAGACAATGTGACCAATGGGCATGATTATGTGCCAGTAGAACTTAATTGACAAAAACAGACAGGGGTCCTAGTTTTATCTAATACATCTAAAAAATAATAATAAGAGAGGAAGAAAAGAATAGGTGAAATGATTTTCTTGAGTATATGAGAGGGGACAGGATTTGTGCACAGGTATTGGGGTGGGGACTTTGATTACAAATTCAACTACATGCGAAAAGTAAGAACACTAAGGATATGCAGAGGTGGGTAACTGTGGTGCATAAATCTGTGGGAACTCTCCATTGATAGCTTTTATTTTCTCAGAGAGGTAGAAAGCAAGATCATATGCAAGTGGAGTCTTGAGAAGATAAAGTAGTTGCATAAAAAACTTTAAAAGTAATTAAGCTAAGAAAATACTACAGATGATTAAATTTTTAGCAAAACATCAAATATTCAGTTTGGAATGTTTAGCTCTTCTTTTCCACATTGATCTTTTCATATATTTTTACTGTAATTTTTCTGAAGTTCCAGCTAAACCTGTGGCATATATCAACATATTTTGAATTATTTAACTTTAATCTTTAAAATCCGAATTATTTTTTCCTGAGAGAAAAAAGAGATTGTGGCAATATATTAAAAACCCTATTTTCAGACTACAAAATCAATCACACATTCTATCCATATATTTTTCTAGTTTAGCAAATCTTATTCGCATTAGAAATTACTTGTGCAATGAATATGCTCTTGTCACTTTATCACTAATTCATGCATTTATCATATTGAATCCTAATTTGCTTTGAGGGTTACTGACTTTTGCTTCAATAATGTATTTGCTCTGAAAGAGTTCAGATATAACGAAATATATTATGTCCAGTATTTGTCTAATATGTTGCCACCAATGAAAGATAAATTACTGAAATGGAATATATTCACATTGATTGCTGTGAAGGTTACACATGGGTTGTTAAATCAAAACAAGCCCTCAAAAGATAGAAAATCAATTGATGTGTCAGATAGGAAAGGCATAAATGGTGAAATCAAACACTGAATTGACATTTTTCGTCTTGAAATAATTTAATTTAACAGAATTTGAAAGGATTTGTGACTTTAAACATACATAATAACCTTACAAGTGAAACACTGAACAGATTGATCTGAAATTTTATTAACAATACTTCAAACAAATGCAGACCAGCGTATTTGAGAAGGAATAGATATTGTTTGTTTTCTGGACTAATCACAGAAGTTTTGAGACCAGTCAAAACAATATAATCACTGAGTAAATATTACCAATATTTAAATGTAAACAATACACATGTGTACAGTTATATAGAGATAATATCTTTGTTCTTCCTACACAGAACTGTTACCCAATTGTCAACAACTGAATTGTCAGTATAAATGTGCAATGATCAAAAATAGTACAAGATGTTACTGTGAGGATGGATTTGAAGTCAAAGAAGATGGAAGAAGCTGTAAAGGTAAGTATAACCTGTAAATCCATACGTTTTCTTTTTAACAGAGGCTTAGTTAACATGAATTTAATAATTTTGAGCACCTACCATATGCTTTACACATGTTTATGTTAATTTTTTTGTTTTAGATATAAAAGTTAATACTTCTCCAAAACCACGTCCATAAACATTACAGATAAGCAATTACATACATATATATGTTTCTAGTTCATATTGCAAAAATGACAAACATGGGAAATTGTCAACAATAAGAGTGCTTTGGTTAACCATTAAAATATTAGATGTAATTATTTTAACTTGCTGAATGTTTGTGTCTATTATATAGGTGCAGTGTAGGAGATATTTGTTATTAACTAAGCTAGGTTAATAAGCATCTAATGTTCTTTACAATTTTTGGATTGGTAATTCTGGTCTTTGGCATTTTGCCAATATTAATGATGAACACACACACAAATATATATATACACTTAAATATATATATACAAATACATATACATATTTAATGTCTCCTTTCTTGCTTTTGTAAATGCTCTATAAGAATATTTACTCTGAAATGACTCCACTCTGCCATACCGAACAATTGTAGTTTACTTCTCTACTCTGCCTCCAGTTATACATATGTTTGTATGTGTATAAATTTGATATATTCACAATGGTTTTTAGCATCTATATATAGAAACCATAAAAATATAGAATCTATATATAAAATTAAGGAAAATCTGCATTCCTAGAGACATTAGTAAACAGAATATTTTCCAAAGAAATTGGTGCTCTGCTGATTATTTTAAACCTTTGCTTTAATAGTATCACTTTTACCTTAAAATGGAGTCTTAAAGTTGAAAGAGTCCTCAGAGAGAATATTGTTCAAAATCCCTATGACAAACTGAGAAAAGTGAGACCCTGAGAGATTAAGTGACTTTCTTAACTCCATTGATCTTCTCAGCAGTAGACTTGGGACTAAAACTCAGGTCTGGAAGGCCCCACTCATTCTTGAAGAGATTTATTGCTTTTTAATGCATATCTGGGCCATTTTTATTTTATTGCTTGTATGTTTTCTGCATAATGCAAGAGTCATAGACACATATATGATTAAATGTTTATTGGAACCATAGCCTGCATAATCTATCAGAAGATGAAACTGTTATATTTAGATGACTCACATAATTTTTAAAACAATATTTAAGAATATCACATACAAAAGTTCAGACTCTCTGAAAGAAAAAATCTTATCTGGTAACTCTGGACACCTTATAATCACAAAAGTCAGCCAGATATGAATGTGTCTGGACATGCCTGCAGTTTCCAGTTCCTCCACACAGGCCAGGCTGATACATCTGTACTATCTCTTACTCAGTCTTTTGCTTACACCTGACTCCTGGGAAAGTAAGCATTTTCAGCTCCTTTTGTGTGGCTCTCTTTTACCTGAATCCCTTAATTAAATCCTTAAAATAATCATAATCCATTTCTTCTGTTGGCCTTTAATAAGGAATTGCACACAATCATTATGGAAGGTCACCAATGGAGAGGAACTCTTTTATTTTCTCTGCACTCCTGAATGTCCAAGTATGAGCATCATTTATATCTTTTTGATGCCATATTTTCAGGATTTTCTCTGTCCATAAAGAGAGAAAGAGGCAGCATTATGAGTAATGACATGCCTATTCCTTGCAGCCAATTTTACAGAATTATATCAATGTCACAGTGCATTCTGGCTAAGGAGAAAGAACCAAAAGAAATCATTAGTCTTATTGCTCTCCTGGACAGCATAACTATATAAGAAAGACTAAACTGGGTAAGAATCATTTCTGCCACTAAGGGCTGGACTTCAAAATACAAGCTTTAATATTTTTCATTATCACTCTAGAATTAGCTCCAAAAATTATTCTTCCTATCCCCAAAGCTAGTTATTTCAAACAAGCCATCCATGAATCTAAGCTATTACATGAAGCTAAAGAAATCTGAAAAAGTGCAAATTAGTGTCCTACAAATGCATAGTTTCCCAATTTAAATGGCTTCTAGCAACTCAGCAATCCTTTTGCTTTTCTTTAGTAAACTCTTTTCTTAGCTTGGGGGGCTGAGAGTCTCCACACTTTAATCATGTGATTGGTCTTTCTGGTAACCAGCCTGCATCCTGAGATATAGTGTTTCCACCCTGAGTCACCTCATTATTCTCTTGTGAATTCCAAGCAGGTTCATTATAAATAACAAAAGACTATGTTCAGAAAATTACAAGGGTTTTGGGAACTCTGTGCCTGAAACTGAGGACAAAAACTAAATATACATTTTAATTATACCACAGCAGTTTAATCCATTTAACACCACAACCTCAAACCATCTTGTTAACTTCTCTCTCCTCTTCCTTTTAAATCTGTCTCTTTCCTTCACCCCTTCTATCCAAATCTGCTTCCAGGAGTCCCAAATTCTCTTCAGTTTCAGTATTTCCAAGCTCCAGTGACCAAACTCTGTTAATAGGCCATCATTGGTATATCCTACCCCATTTAGTGACTCAGCAAAACAAAAGCATATTGCAGTTAAGAATATCTACCTTCCAATGATGGCAGTGACCCCTTTCCCCCCTTCACTGCACCAGAGTCACTACACCAATGTTTTAATGCCAAATCCAAATGGCAATTTCAGTATTTATCTTACTGGATTTCTTCATACTATATAACACTTTGGAGCACTCTGATATGCTTGAAAAGCTTGCCTTTTTAACTTCTTAAACTTTTCCTGAAGTCTCCTTAGAAGGAGTACCATGGATTCCTCTTTCTTAAACCACTCTTTACATATTGGTATCTTGCAGGATTTTGCTCTAGCAGAGCTTTTCCCTCTTTCCCTTTCTCTCTCTGTGGGATATAACCCTTTGCTATTTAAAAAACAAATCTATTATCCATATGCTATTGACTCTCACATACTCCAGAATAGATCTCACCATATATACTGGTCCCATGTTTCCAACTACTTATTAAGCATTTACTCAAGGGTGCCTTCCCTACAGACACCTCCATTTAATACATCCAAATCAAATTCATATTCTCCTCCCATGATATGTCCATTCAAATCTACACATCTTATAAATTGGACCACCATTCACTTCTACCGTATCCAATCAGTCTTCATATGTTGTCTATTCTTTCTTAAACATTTAAGTCCACTCCCTCTTTCTTTTCCATTCCCACTATGACTGACTTAGTTAAATAAGATGACTTCAATATACAATTTCTTGTAGGAAATTAGTACATGACTAACTTTCCAAGATCTCTTCTCTACATTCCACAATCCATTTTTCATGAATTTGTCCATTTTTAAAATACAAAGGTGACTATATGGCTCAGCTAATTAATACCTTCCTCATGCCTATGGATAATGTATAACCCTTTAGCAAATAATTTCATTATCTAGTTCCAAAACTACATCCCTAGTTTCATCTCTTAGCACTTCCCATTGTCTGCCCTTACTCTGTGTGACTCCTTACACTTCTCTGAAATCATTCTTGTCATCTCAATGCCTTTTTACATGCTCTTTTGTTTAACTGGAATGCCTTTTTCATTCTCACCCCTTTTTAATTCATCTGAGGAAATCTGACTCATCTTTTCAACTCACCTCAAGATGCAGCCTTCATTTAACATTCTCCCTCCATGTACAAATAGGGTCACTTGCTTCTCAATGTTTGCCTCCTAACTAGAGTAAGGAAATGTGTACAATCAAAATTATATTTCACTAGACTTGTTTCACTTAGGGGAAGGAAAAATGTTTTATCAATTTTGGTTTCTTCAGAGATTAGTATAGTGCTAGCAAGACAGACTGAATATACATTTATTTAAATTACTAGCTGACAGATTTTTTTTTTTAATTTACCTGGTTGGTTAAGAAACATAGGTACCTTCTATTTACAGAGATTTGAACAAGATGTTATAGGGGTGAATATGCAAGGAGGAAGGAGGGAGGGAATAGAAGAAGGACTATAGATATTAAAATAAAATTTGATTAAGATGAAATTTCTCTTTTCAACAAATACTCAATAGCTTCCCTTTTTTGAATTAGCAAGGTGGTTTGAATAGTTTGGCTCAGAATTCTTATTTAGTATTTTCATTGAGAACCATGTTACTAAACTAATTATTTGTTAAAATAGTGAAAAAGTCAATGTCATAAACACTAGAACTATTTACCAGATATTCAGCAGAATGTATTTTATACCATTGCAAAAATATCCAGGGACTTCTACCCTGTCCAGGGACCCTGATCATTTATTTATGCAAATAAGACCTCTTAAAATAAAAGATTGGATATTAAGTTTGATCTTGTATCTCTGTAACTATTAAAGCAACAATGAATTTGACTTTTTATGTGGTTTTTAAGAATTATTGGAGTTGGGGCTTCCTTTTTAAAACAATAATTTACTTCCAAAATTAAAAAAAAATGTTTTATTCAAGGAGATATAAAATGCCCAACAATAAATCTTAGAAATGATGCCAATTTTCCTTTTAGATCAAGATGAGTGTGCTATTTATGGTACCTGCAGCCAGACCTGCATAAATACATACGGATCCTATGCTTGCAGTTGCGTGGAGGGCTACATAATGCAGCCTGATAACAGATCTTGCAAAGCCAAACATGGTAAGTCATCATCTTTTCTTTGCCCTCCTATAATTTCTTATTTCCTTCTTGCAGTTCCTTTTCACTGGAGATGTGATAAAGCAATAGGGACTTTGAGGAATAGATTTTTCAGTTTACTGATCCATACTTAGAAATCCAGAGCACTATTTTAGTGAAACTCCTTCCATTTCAGGAAGTTTCTAATTAGCAAAAACCTGTTCAAAAGAAATGAATGAATTGATTTGAATTACCCAACTCCTGAACTATGCAACAGATTCTCAACTAGTTTCTTTGAGCTTCTGCTTTCCCACAAAAATTCATATTGCACATAATAGTTAAAGTGATCTGCTAAAATGTAAGCCAGATCATGTCATTCTCTTGCTTATAAATATTTCCCAATAATGTTCTCTCACCTTGAGAACGAAACCCAAACTTCTCACAGGACCTGTAAGGGCCTAATGGCCTGGTACCATTTACGTTTCCAATCTCATCTCCCACTACTTTTTCCTTTCATCATGAGTCATGCTGGTTTCCTGGTCCTTCTTCCAGCACATTGCTATTGCCCTTGAGATCTTTCCACGTGCTGTGTTATCTGCCTGCAATGCTTTTCTCTTTGATAATCACATTCTTATCATTCAAGCTTTGGCTAAAATGTCAACATTTAGAATGACCTTCTCTGACTGTTCCACTGATGGTGTATACCCTCTCCATAACTATCTTATTTTCTAATTGTAATTATTTATGTATTCCTATTCCATCATTATATGACTTTTCAGTTTTATTTTCCTTATAGCACTACCATTTGAAATAAATTCATGTATGTATTTATTTATCATTTGATTTCCTCAGAATAATGTAAGCATTATAAGACTACAGAACTTGTCAGATTGGGTCATTGTTATTCATTCAGTTCTGATGATTACCTGAAACAGACAGGTACCAATGAATGTTTGTGGAAGGAAAAAGGACAAAAGGAAGGAAAGGAAAGGTTGAGAAGGAATTAGCTTATTTCTAATCACAATCACTAAAATGAATGCTCTACTCTTAAATGTTTGAATTTTGTATTTCTAAGTTGCCTTTTTTTTGCCTCTTACTGCAAATAAAGCCTGTAGTTTCTACACAGTATTCAGCTTATAATAAACACTAAGTATTGTTTTTTTCTAATGAAATAGCCTGGAGATGTGCTAGTAACAATAAGATAATGCTAATTTTTGTGGGCTGAATTAGCTTGAGAATAATGTAAGGAGATATTATACACAGTATTCCATCTGGCTTCTTCCAACTTCCCCCAAATCTGGTTTCATTTCATGTATTTTCACGTTATAATGTTGTGATCAATTAATGAATGTCCCCTACCTATTTTTATTAGCAATTGGTAAATTAGTCATGGGACAGGACTCTTGTTCAAGTCCAGATTGAGCAAAGCATTGGATTTGTTCAGCAAGCTGCTGATGTCTCCCTCTACGATACCACCTCATGTTATAATTTCAACATTTCTCTGAGGTAGCGTGTTTAATAATTCACAAAACATTTGTATACAGAATTACAAAAAAAAGAAACTCTTCTACTTCTTAGTTCACTTGTTTGAATTACTGATTTACTTTATGAAACCCTATTTATTTTGGGGGCAATCCTTGAGAAAAATTAGGTCATGTATGTGTTCCTCTTTTTTCTACTATTGAGAGCTCTGATTTTAAATATTGATGGACTAAAGAAGTAGAAGGCTTGTTCTTTGCTGTTACTATTGATCCATACAATATTCAGTATTATTGTGGGTACACAAGTAGAGTGTAATAAAATAAACCCTAAACAAAGGGACACTTCTCCTCTACATAGAGAGGATATCTGACAAAAACGGAGTGTAACCTGAAAGGGCTGGTACATGATATGTAATGCTGAATCAAGGACATTTGATGACTCTAGAACTGATTATGGAATATATAAATTCCTTCACCTCTAGGCATTTGGCTTGATGACAATATTGGCTTATAGAGTTTGAAAAATATACAGTTTCCATGGGATTGTTCCTGTGGTTTGAATGTTGAGTTGGTAGTAATACAGTAAATGAGCACAAGTCCATAACATATGACTGACTAGTTCTAAAGATCACATGGATTTTTGAACCAATGTATTGTACAATTCAAAGGAAAACTATCAATTTTGCTTTAGTTTTCTCAAATTTATAGGATATTTTTGGTTTCAATTATATTTAAAATTGTATTTGATGCATTAGCTTTTAAAATTTTTGTGGCAATTTTATCATACCATATTGTTGCTATGACTAATATTTACTGGGAAAAAGTTACAAATTAAATCACAATCATCTTAAGGCTTTGCCATTTCTACTTTCCATTACCTGGCTGCTTAGATTGGCCCCTCTTTTTCCTTCTTCTACAATAATACCCTACTGGACTCCAGAATATGACTTTCCCTGCAAGTCAAGCAGTTCCAGGGCTCTCAGAAGCCACAGGATGTGAGAATGGGCTGGCCCAGGATAGTGTGTATGTAAATGATATCTAGGCTTTAGAAAGAAAGAACAATATAAAAAAATATAAAGCCTAAATGGTACAGTGGAAAGCTAGAACTAGACCTAAGAAGAGGGTTCTGCAAAGCCTTACTAGATAATGGGAAAATAAAAGTTCCAGGGAAAGTAGCCTTTTATGTGAAGGCAGAGAGAGGCAGTCAACTGACTTTGAGAGCAGCTTATAAAGGTGATGAACTAGTTTAGCACAGAATCATATCATGGCTGCTCCCTAACTGTTCTTCCCAAAACTTGCCTATGGGTTCTTATTTTCAGTGTGACAATTGATAGTAATTAGGAAAATTAATCTGAGTCAATTGATTATCCCTTCTTTGTAATATGATACCTGAACTAAAGTAAAATTCACAAACCTTAAGAGCATCTTTAAGAAATAACTCTATTATGGGGAGGAGATTTTAGGCCCTAAGGCAGTTGGGGGAAGAGATTAATGTTAGGCAGGAGGCCTTTTCATTCCTGTTAATTCATGCAATGCAGATAAATTGTTTTCTTTTCCATACTTTATAGATTGACTACTGAAATATAGAAGTAATTGTTTCAGACTTGGGAGGAATGTCAAAAGTAATCTAGTCTAACTATCCATTTGATATCAACATTTCCAAGTGGAAGAAAATCTAAAATGTAAATTAAAAAAGATAACTTTAATTTAAATGATATAAATGTGTGTTAAAAATAATTTAATTTAAATAATGTCTATTCGATGATACTCTGTAGGAGGAGACATACTAGAATATGAATGTCACTGGTGGAGTATTTATTACTTTGGAATGGGACACACATTAAAAGCTAGTAATTTTGAAATAAACATTAGGACTTGTCATATGGAAACAAAAATATTTTAACAGTAATGGTCAAAATATGTATAGGTATCCAGTAAAACTTCCTGTAGATTTTTACATATATTTTGAGATGAGTTCTAATAATGACTTGTCAAATCTGAAAATTAAAAGGTTTCCTTCCCTTAATTTAACGTATTTTCTTATAACTGATTTAGGGTGATTTTGATGCAGAAAAATGTGTTGAAGGTGGGCACCCAGGGCTGAAAGCAGGTTTATATAGACCCTGTAAGAGTGCAAGTAATAGTCAAAGGGGTTTAACTTATAAACTGTTACCAGTTTTACTCCTGATAAATTCAGGCTCATTGGACTGTATTTTCTAGTGTCCTGACCACTTGCTGGAAGGCAGGGACTTTAACCAGCATCTAATTCTGTGGAACCTGTAGAACTTTACTGATTGCTCTAAAGCAGTAGCAGAATAAAGTAGACTAAATAAATAATTTTAGGCTCATCAGTTTAGTGACATGACATTAAATGATACTGTGGGAGAGACAGTGTGTGCTTCCTTGCTATGAGACAACTTAGAGCAGTGAGAGAAGAGAGCCCATTAAATAGCTTTGCAATTCTATTACAGTTTATACTTTGCCATTCTACTCATTGGGGAGGGGGAGACTCATTAAACAAGGAACTCTTATTTGTAAGAAATACAAATCATAATCCCTGTATAATCCATGAAATCACACCTCTGGACTATGTTAGGGACTGTTTTCATACTCATTTTCTTTGCTACAATTCTTAAGGAAGAAAAAAAGAATGAAACAAAGTATGACTCCCTATGGCTTCTACTGGCTAACCTCTAATTTTATAATCATCTACTAATACATAGTTTAAAACTTTCTTTTGTAAGGTGGTAAAATCACCCATGGTTTTCTGCCAGGGTGGGTTCTGATTGTGGGGAGAATAGGAGTTGCCTGTGTTGAAAGGGAAGAGTTCCTGCTTAGATTATCAGTCTTATCAACCACTCATAATGTGTGAAATTAAGTTCATAAAATATAATTGCGTTGTTTTTCTTTTTTCTTTTTTAAACATCCCATATTAAAATGCAAGTGTTCATAAGAAAGGTTAAGAAAGTGTTAAGTCTTAGTAACCTTGATAACTTAGGAAACGAGTGGATCAGATCTGTTTCTGTATACCATCTGGCTGAGAATGGCTTCCTACAGAATGATCTGTGATTATGCCTTGCTTGACATGTAAAGATTCATTATTCATGATTTTTATGTAGTCCAAAAATCTAGTTCCTGCAAAGTTGGTCATTTCATTGAGGTATAATTGTGAACAGCACTTGATGACATGATGGTATATGAGGAGCTCTGAGTTGGGAATTAGTCTAGTGGACTAGCACCAGCATAGTAACCTAGCTGTGCTGTTCTCTACTTAGTCATTTGTGCATGGAGGAAACTGTGTAAGTGGTAAATGGCAGAGAAATAGTGTAGTGCTTGGAATGGAGAATGTGCTTGGTAAATGTTTGTTGGATGCTTTACGTGATTTTCTAAACATTCAGGAAGTAGATAACGGTGCTGGGATGTTAAGGATCAAGAAAAAGAAAGTCAAAAGGTTAGAAGAGATTCCAAGGAAAATGAGATGTTTTGCAGTTTTATTCTGTTATGGAGGGCTCTGGCTGCTTTTGCTGTAGTATTGACATCAGA